ATTAGAAGAAGAAATTCAGAAGAAGAGAAGAAGATTTCTGAACTTGGTGTGAATTGAAATGAACCCAATGATGGGTATTTATAGGCTTGTTGGTGCCTATTCTGAATGGGTACACTCATAATCCGAATGGGTGCAACCATTGTTGACCAATCAGAATTAAAAAACTGTTGGTGGTTTTTTAATTTGTAAAGGGTGCAACTCTTGGTTCAAAATTAAAACTGAATCCTTTAAATTCTGATCCAGCCCAGCCCTTCAAGCAAATAATCCAACTCTGCCATTAATTCAGCCCAGTAAACAGGCCCATTTTGATAAGTCCAGCATCAAAATAAAATTACAACCACACAGGCCCATTCCAACTTTGGGTAAAAAGTTAAACCCATTTCACAATCAAGCCCCGCCCCGCCCTAGCCCGGACCGGACCGGGTCGGGCGGCGCGTGGTAGTTAGTTCGGATCCAGGCTAGCCTAGGTCCTCCCACTCTTAAAAACTTGGGTGCCCTTGGGCCCAAACTCAAATCCCATACTAGACATATATATATTCAAGGTTGCTTTGCTACTTTTTCGATGTGGGACAAGCATTTCCTACTTTATTCACACCCATTTAGGCTTTATAAATCACTTACTTTGGAGCCAATTTCTCATTCACCCGGAAACGGATTTGAGAAAATAAATATACCACGTTCATCTCCTCGCAGAGAGGAACGCGCTCATCAATAGATTCGCAAAAAATTCTTAGCGGAATCTTTTTAAAAATCCTTCCAAAGTTTGCGTTTTCTAATGCCGTTTCCAACAGTAATTAAAAGAACAAGTTTGTCATGAGGTGTACATTATTAAAACTGTCATGAGTTTTTCTTTAAGTTTATGAGTATAAGCACAAAACATTCAAAAATCACATCATCACATTCCTCGTACTTAAATTGCCATATTATATTATCGTCTAAAGAGTAATGCTACTCTAAGCAAGTGCAATCGATCAAAAAATAATCATTCATATCAAAATACTTTAAACAATGCGAGCTTATTAAAGATAATCATTCTATTTGATCAAATTTGGTCACAAGAAAAAGCATATAAAATTTTGACCTAAGTGTAATCTAATTTAAATAATTTTCAATACGAAAATTTGATTTTATAATTCTCATAATGTTATTTGAAAAGGTAAATAAATAAAAATAAAAAGAGGAGGAGGATATGGATGTCACTGTCAAGCTGATGCAGCTTTGTTAAACCAACTTGGGACCACAGTATTGAGAAAGTGGGCATCCTCTACACGTTATAATTTCCATCTTTTATTTCAATTGGAGGGTTTAGCTTTTAGATGACATTAAAAGAGAAAGCTTAAGCATGATGGGTTGTCCAGTCAATTAAGTCCCTGTCAAGCTAATGTTATCTCTACAACCTTTCTAAGTGAAAGGTGAAGGTTGAAATCCTCTTCTTAAGTTTCTTGTCGATGATTAATATATATACACACACATATGTGTATATATTCTTTGTCATGTGTCAAAATCTTGTGAAACAAATTGTGAGTTGATTGGCTGTGATGTACATATTTGTCGTTGGATGAGCTTCTAAATTGTACATATTTATATTGTGTGAAACACTACCCCTCTCTACAAAAGCTTTTCTATTAGTATTTTTTTTTTTGTTTTTTTTAATCAGACAAAGTAGTGATAAGGGGATTCAAACATGGATAAACTCTCTGGACACTCGGTCAATTAGACCGTCAGATAATGTCCTATGATGCTACACCAACTATTCCAATTAGACCATCAGATCAGATAGTGTCCGAAATGACTCGTAGATGTTGTGCATCTTGATTGCATTTTTTTCTTGTGATTAATATATTTTTTTGCCTTCTTGATAAACGAAAAAAAAAAAAGAAAAGAAAAAGAAAAAAAAGAAAAGAAAAGGGAAAGTGAATGAGGGCAGTCCAAAAGTGGAAATCTTCCAAATATTTAATTTCTTTTTCAGTCAAGCATGAGAATCACATTCTCAATGCCTCTCCCACTTTTTGAATTCTCTCTCTCCCTTTTTAAAATCTAGCTCTTAACTATTGTGTTACAAAATGCTTATTTTGTGAAATACCTAGAATGTATTTATGAATTTTAAGTAAATAAATTTTCTTACAAATCAAATTCTTATGCAATTATTTTTCAATAATAGTAGACATTCATGGTTCTTTGTAGGTTTGCTAATGAATTATCAAACTAAGTATGAATTATTTGAGTTTAGATTCATAAAACTTTGATAAGTTTGGGCTGTGTCAAAGCTTTTAACCAAAGTTTATAAGAAAATTCATGTTTAAAATATTACTAATACTTTGCTAAAAATGAGCCTATTGTTTGATAAACTATCTAAAAAAAATCCTATTGTCTGATAAACTATCTAAAAAAAAATTTGTCCTCCAGTTGTTTCAAATATTTTTACACACCTAACCTAATAGACTTGACCTCAATAAAATATATATATATATATATATATATATATATATATATATATATATTAATTAGGGTCACAAAAAGTCATTTACTATGGTTTGTTTTAGTAATTAGAATAATTCAATTGTCAACGCTTATACTCTGTTTGGTAGGATATATGGACGAAAAATTGATGGAATGTAAAGAAGAAAAGATGAATAAAGCATTCATAGGGAAGAGATTATGTCATTCTCTCTTTTTATTTGGTTAGATAGAAGCAAAAAGAAATAAGAAAATAGCTCATTCATTTTACTTGTGAATAGAGAATAAAACGGAAAGTAATAATTAAGGAAAGTTATGTGATTTAAAAACATTTATTATAGGTTTATTTTTCTTCCTTCGTGTCTTCTGTCAATATTTCCAGGGATGAAAATATGGGAAAAATGAAAGATGACTCATCCATTCTCTTTTCTTTTCTCTCATTACTAGGGATGACAAAATACCCCACCCCGTCAAGTATCTGCCCCATTTAAAACGGTTATGGAGTGGTTAAATGATTTTGGGATAGGGATAAAAATTATAATTGAAAACCCGCATAGTTATCGGCTGGAGATGGGGAAGGGTTATCCCGCCCCGCCCATTTTATAATAATAAATTATAATTTTGTGTTTATATTTTATTTTATATTCACTAATATGAGGTATATATGAAACAAATTATAACTGATTCTATTTCAATCTCAAAATATCCTTTCGTATTATTATTATTTAGAACTTTTATGTATTATTTTGTTGTTCTTACAATAATATTAAGTATAAAATTCCAATTGAGAAGTTATATTTTGTTTTCATTCTATGAAAAAAAAGAACTATTACCACTACAAAAGTAATTTACAAAACCAATTCTCACCCGTCTCACCCCCACCCTATCCCACCTCGTTTAATTAATAATTTTGGGGTGGGAATAGCTTTAACTATGCTAAACGGGATAGGGATGGGAATGGGGAAGGGGGAGGGTACTCCCTGCCTCATTGTCATCCCTACTCATTACTTTCTTTTTACCAAATAAAATATAATAATTTTTTGTTTGAATCTTTCCTTCACCCATCACCCTTCCTTCCAATGGAACATTAAATGGCATATACAGTTATTAATGTGATACAAAGAACTTAACATGCAATGAATGCCTATAAGTGGGTGAGCTGGAACAAATCAATTCGAATACGGCTCATCGGAGTAAGAACGGGACAATTAAAATCTTCAAAGTATCACATGCTTGTGCTGAGAGGGACATTTAAGTCATTTTGGATAACTTTGAACATTCTCACTAGATTTATAAATTAGAAAACTACAACTACCAAAAAATAATAATAATAATAATAAATTGCATAACTCTAAAATATTAGAACTCCCCCTAGTATAATATAAAATATCAAGTGAGAATGACATTGTGCTTGTTAAACATATTTAAAATGTTTTGTTTTGTTTTGTTTTATTGTTAAAGATTGGAGGTCGGTAAAAATATAAAAAAAATTAAAATGGAGAGATAGAAGGAGAGACAAAACGATCGTTTTATCTTTTGAAGAATAGTTGTGTAATATGAGAAAATAATAAACTCTCACTTGTAAAGTTAGAAGTGTCATTTGTCAACCCTAAGATAGAATGAGAAAGAGGGATCTGGATACCCTCCGGTGGTGGAAATCATAGACCTATCATGTGTCACATAGTCCGCAGTCATTTAAAATTATTTAAGGCTAAATTTGTCCATTTCTTTAAATAGCCTATTTTATTTTTCATCTCTCAAAATAAATAATTGAAAAAAAAATTAAAGAATCTTCAACAAAAATAAGAAATGTGTGATTTATATATATGCTTTGATTCACGAGTGTATTTGTGTAAATGTATTAGTTCTTATTCAAATTATATTTATACATATGGGTTTTGATGCATAACCTTATCAAGATATATATATATATATATATGGTGTTTGGTAGCTAGTACAAGGCTCCTATTTTTTAAAAGGAGGTCAAGAGTTCGAACCTCACTGAAGTGTGTGTGAGTCCCAACTAAAAAAAAAAAAAGGGTAGCTATGGTTAGAGGGTGATTGTGTATGAGGTGGATGTGCCTTAAAACACTGTAGTTTTGTGAAAGGAAAGAGAGGAGAAAAAACATAAGGGTGAATTGTTGTGCCTTAATACTGTAGTTTTGAGTCATGACAGGAGAGGATACAAGTTGTGTGTGTGTGTGTGAGTGTGTGTGGGGTATTATATGAAGTTGATATTAGTATTATTCTTTTTATTAGTAAATATTTAGTACTTTTCTTATTTTATTTATAAATATACTCATTTATTTACTTAATTTAAATGACAAAGATGTCTTTATTATTTTATTACTTTTGTGACATTAATAGCATTTTTTGTTTTTAGGTAAGGGACATTAATAACATTTCACTTTTTAAGGTCAAGTGCATTTATAAAAAGAGAGTGCCAATATTCTTTCCTATATTTTTTATTTTCTGTAAATATTATAATATATGCATAGATATGTGTGTGTATCTATATATATATATATATATCGTATTTAGCTTGAACGTCATTTCTGTGAAAACAATTGCTTATGCCTGCGAAGGAGAGAGAGAAGCAGACGAGTTAAAGAAATCCCATCGATTTCTTTTTCCCGCTCATTGATATACAGATATATATATATATATATATATATATATATATATCTATCTAATCAACACACTGCCACTAACGCCAGGTATGGTTTCTCTCTCTACTTTCTAGTCTCTCTCTAGTTTTCCTTTCTCTTTAGGCAGATACAAATTTCTGTTTCCGTTCATTTTGTAATTAGTCGAAGCAGAAGAATTTTGGGGTTTTATTACTTTCGGCATTTTCGGCATTCATTAAACCCTAGTGTTTTTCTTGGTTCTTGAGATAGTTGAGGTAAAGAAAGTGAAATGAAGGTTAATTTCATAGGTAATTTTGTTGTCTGGTTTCCACCAAGACGAAAAATAATTGCTCAAATTCAATTGACTTGATTGGTACAGTTTTCCACAATTTTCCTCGAAAAGAAGCCAAAGAAAATGTCAGGTTTTTACTCCCTTAATTATGTTTTCATTTATTTTCCTTTGTTTTCTAGGTAACCAAAGGAGTCTTTATTTGTTAAATATTTTTATGTCAATGAAAAACATGGGTTCTTAATTTTTTTATTTAGATTTTGTTTTTCAGAATTTTGAAACCATTAGAAACTTTAATACTTATTGATTCTAACCCTTAAACCTCTAGTATGTTGGATTTTATGTGCATGCATAATGGATGCTTAAATTGCTGTTCTTGCACTTAATTGACAAATATGTGACAAATTTCGGAGGCTTTATTGTGATTTGATTTGCTTTTATTTTAAAATTATTTTGTACTACCACGTTTATAATAGTACTTTCTTTTTTGGGTTATAATAGTACTTTCATTTTTGACTGTTAACTCTGTTCGGAATGCATTTTCTATTTTCCTGCATTTTCTACAATTCTTTTTGAGACTGTACTTACATAGACTTGTGCAAGTATGCTTGCCAGTCAAATATATATATATATATATCAATTATATATGGGCGAGCTTTCCTTCTTTGCTTCAATTGTCTGTATTCTGATGATGATTATTATGTTGGTCTTATAGGTATATATATTTGCTGGTCAGAGACTGGAGCTGGAAAAGAAAAGGATAATATATGGAGGGCGACGCAGGAAGAGGTTTGGGATGCCAGAAGATTATGGATGGGAAGGGGAATAACAATTGGAACAGTTCGGACAAGTCTATCCCTTCTTGTTGTTTGAAGGCTATGTCTTCAGACCCTGAGACTGAAGCCAAATGCCACTCAACAGTTGTTTCTGGATGGTTCTCGGAACCTCGGTCATGCTCTGGTCATTAATTTTCTACTTCTTTATTATTTTTTTTGTGCTATGCAATTTTGCAGTACTTTATGTTCTCCTTTTGGTGCTGTTTTGTTCTTTTGGCATGATTATTAGTAGAAATGGGTTGGTGGTTTTTGACTTCTTTTCTTTCTTCTGTTGTTTGTAACAGATAAAAATGGCGAGCGAGTGTATTTCAATAACCCCATGTGGCCAGGTATATGCTGATATAATTGCATTACTTTCATTCTTGATCTAGCCTGATATGACTATATTTTTATTGAGCATAAAATATGTCATTCTTCAATTTCTTCTTGCTTTATTCCTTGAAATGCCCTTCTATTTTCCTTTCCCCTTTTACCAATTCTGTAAGGCTTCTTTTGATTAGATGGAAATAGCAAGAAAGGAAAGGAAGTGGAAAATTTAACACTTCTGAGTTTGGATGGCAGGAAAAGGAAAATTTGAGTGAAAGTAGTATTCCATAACCACCTAACTCTCCCATAATTTCTTTCTAGAAAAGCAGTGAATTTTTTATTTCTTTAGAAATTTTAGAATGCCTTTTCTTTTCTTGTAAGTTTCATGCTACCAAAACCATGAAATGGTAATTTCTCATTGCTTTCTGGAATTTTTTTCATGCCAATCAAATACAGGTTGGAATTATTTTGAAATTTTAATTATGTTTACTATTTATTATTTATTTTTTTGTCGACAATGGTGGTGTCGGGCCTCTTAGAGCACCCCATAATCCACCACCGGGCACATGCATTCTCCTCGCTCCACATGCACTGGGCAATTACCTGGAAAATTCCATGGGTGTGGCCCCAAGAGATTCAAACTCTCTACCTTGAGGAGGTGAGGTGAGGTGAGAACCTTGTCATTAGGCTATCCCCTTGGGGTTGGAAAAAATTTGTTTTCCTTTCATTTACTTCACTTTCTTGTAATTCATTTTCCACTATCATTTTCCATCTAACCAAATGAACTCCTTGGTTATAGTGATTTGAGAACCTCTTGACAGAACTTCTAATGCAAATAATCAATTTATCATATCATATTTTTATTCTTTTCTTGTTATAGAAATAAATTAATAAACATCTCATGGTATTAAATCCCATTCATTTTTTAAAAGTATATAAATGCAATTTATTCATGTAAAGCATGTTCAAGATGTTAAGTAATAAAGGAGTTTGAAGTTGCTGGAGAGTCGAAAGCACTAGAAGTTGGAATATCATTTTTTTAGTGGGCAAAAAAATCTAATATGAGAAGTAATGTTTGAGGGTGCAGTACGGGAATGTTGTTTGTAGTATCACACTATCACTCATGCTTAGGGCATGGGAGTGATTCCCTTACTGATCAAAAGGAAATTACTGGTCAGAAGAAATTTACTGATCATTTAAGATCTATCCTCTTTGTATTGATAATTATAATTTTTGTTTTCCTCCCAACTTTATTTCATTTTGATTTTTTTTCCCAGGAGAAGCACATTCACTGAAAGTAGAAAATATTTTATACAAGGAGAAGTCAGAGTACCAAGAAGTACTGGTTTTTGAGGTTTAGTTTTTCAACTCTGAGACTTGTCTTTGGATGGATATTTGTTTTGTCTTCTGCCTCTTGTCTAGTTTTATGCTTCGTGTTTCCTGACAATAGTTCTTTCATCTACAGTCTTTAGCATATGGGAAAGTGCTTGTTCTTGATGGCATTGTTCAGTTGACTGAGAAAGACGAATGTGCTTATCAGGAGATGATAGCTCATTTGCCCCTTTGTTCGATTCGATCCCCCAAAAATGTAAATTTCCAACAATAGCAAGCGTGCTTCTTTGGGTTATTCTTTTACATTTAAAATGGATTATACTTCTGTTGCATCTCATTCTAATGCTTTTTATTTATTATTTATTTATTTTTATTTTTATTTGTTCTTTTTTATTCTTTTCAATAAACAGAGTACCATTAGTTGATATGCTAATTTTATACTATTCAAAAGTGTGAAAGAGCATTCTGTGCAATCATAATTGTTAAATTAGTGATACTTTTGATAATAATCCTGTCTAAATGTCCTCTTCCTTTTAAGAGTTAAAATAAAAGATCTTAAAAATAAAATTAAGGAAAAGAAAGTAAGTAGATAGGTTTAAATTGTTAATATGCTTACAAGAGAGCTATCTTGAAATCAGTAGCTGTTTTTCTTTTTCTGTCTTTATCTTATTTCAGAAACTATTAAGAGATAGAAAAGAAAAGAAATTTCAAAGAAATCCTCACAGCGTCTGTATTTCAACTTCAATCCATATAATTATAAAGATACCAAGGATTATAGTGTTAATTGAATCCTTTCTCAATTTATTTTTTCATCTGTTAGGAAGGAAAACGTATGACTAAGCTGTCACATTTTAAGCAATGCTATCCTTTTATAGAGAATCATTTTGTTAAGAAAAAGTAAGGACATTGATTAAATAAGCACCTATGTGTTGTATTTAATATTTGTAGTGTTCGCCTTTTCTTTTTCCTTTTTGATAATGCTCCATTTGGTAGGACGGATGGAAAGATGGATGGGAGAGGAATGGATAGATAGATGAGGCATCCCTAGGTCCCTCCTTTTGTTTGGTTTGGTGGGGCTGGATAATTTGCCACCCCTGAGTAGAACTGGAAGGAAAGGGTGCTGTTATTATTTTACCAATATATCCTTTATATATTAATTGAGGACAAGAATGTCTTTTCATTTTTATCAAACAAATATTCAATTTTCCTCCTCTTCCTCATCCCTCCTCCCATCCTTCCCCTCTTCCTCTCCCTTTTACCAAACAATGGAAACTTGCTCCATTCCTTCTCTCTTCTCTTCTACCGAAGAAGCATAAATATCTGACGGGTGTTATCTAATAACATGCAACTCGCTGCAGCATACCAATATCTAGTTGAATGATCATGTCATTTGACACCCCCCATGGATGCCTCATCTTTGTCATGGTTGTCATATATCCTGTTGTTCTAGGAGAAAGAAGGCATCTTGGGGGAATATGGCAGGATAGGGTTAATGACAATTTTCAAAAAATCAACTTCTTGTCCTTTTTATGTAAACTTCTTCCCAGAAATGATTGGATAAAGAAAAGAATATAAAATTAAGAAATATCATTGCGGAGTCCATGTTTTAACTTCAATCTATGTAACTAGATTGGTGGTTAGGGAACACGTAGAAATTTGATCTTTGTACAATTTCTTTCATCATCTTTACAGAAGGAGAAAGTATGAGTAAGCTATGACATTTTCAGTATACTATACTTTTGTAGAGAATCATTTCATTAATAAAAAGTGAGAATATTGATTTCATAAGCAAAGATCCTTTTAAATTCTTGTATATATTCTACTTACTGCCCTGGCTCTCTCTGTGTGAGATGGAGAAGCACAGTAAGCCTCACCCTATAAACACCATGAAATACTGTAATATCACTAAGTGCTTGGATTGTGTGAAAATTTGAAATTACCCTTATGTCCTTCTTAGGGAATCTTTTGATTACCTTGAGAACTCCTTGTTTACGCACTGTTTTAGATATTATTGTTTGGTTGATTTAGTATAGAAAGATATAATTTACATTGTATTTGATGAAGACATTATTGATATAGCCGCTTATCTTTTCTCTCTTCATGATTTTGCAAGCATTTATCCACCCCCCTCCCCCTCAAACTTTCAATGCTGAGATCTTGTGGTTAATGCAATTGAATTACACAATGCACAGGTTTTGGTTGTAGGTGGTGGTGATGGTGGAGTTCTTAGGGAAATTTCTCGTCACACATCTGTGGAGCTCATTGATATCTGTGAGATAGATAAGATGGTTATAGATGTAAGTGGTGAAATGATGTATTGATTTAATTCATTTTGTTCTTAGTTTAACAAGTCCGTTGCTGTTATCTTGTATGCTGTAGGTCAGTAAGAAGTTTTTTCCGGAATTAGCTGTTGGCTTTGAGGATCCTCGTGTCTGGCTTCATGTTGGTGATGGTATGTTGGAAAATATTACTCCCTCCTTCCCATTTTTGTTGTAATTCCCAAACTACCCTTGAAATTTTAGAAGTATACTATTTTCAATTTGGGAAAGATTATGAAGTTTGAGGATATTTTGGAAAGATGCAGTCTTTTTACTTTGACTTTTCAAATGCAACATGAATTTTGGGACATCCAAAATGGAAAAACAGACAAGTATGGTTGATTATGACTTCTCATCTGAAGTCCTGTTGTGATCTTTTTGCAAAATGGAGCCTATATTTCAGTAGCTATCATTGAGTACATAGTGATGCTTTTTTGTTGATATTGGTTATATGATTTTGACAGCCGTCGAATTTCTACGGCATGTGCCTGAAGGAAAGTATGATGCGATAATTGTTGATTCATCAGACCCAGTAGGTACGCTGTTGATTCATTGTTTTTGTTTCTTTCTCCTCCTCCCCACTTCTTGTTAGGCAGGCATGCTTGTCTGTGCCCATGATATGGTTATCTGTGGGTTTGGATGTACCAATATTTTCTGGGTATGCATCTTATTGTCAGTCATTTCAGGATCTTTTAATTGTTTGACTAATTTTTTCCCAAACATCTTTCTGGATTACATTTACTAATTGTTGATTACCACATAAAACATATCAAGTCAAATATATCTGGTGATTTGGAAGGAAGACTCGTTGAATTTCTTTATGAAACTTTTGACTAGGTTTATTCACTGAAAAATAGTGAGTCATTGGTATGTTTTTTCTAGCCTGTGAAAATTGGCGTTTTCTATTGATCACAGTTCATGCTCAATATTGGTGGATTTATGTATTGTCATTGATTCTTAATTTTCTAGAACTTGGATTGTTGTTTCCATATTGATTATTGAATATCTGAATATATATATCTGAAGGCCATGGCAGTTGAATGAACTCCGGTGCCCACTTTTGGTGGGTTTTATATCTTAAACTCTCAGATTAAATCAAAATTTTAATTGATTGGGAGTTTCTTGATTAGGTCCTGCACAAGAACTTGTGGAAAAGCCATTTTTTGAGACTGTGGCGAGAGCATTAAGGCCTGGTGGCGTTCTTTGTAACATGGCAGAAAGTATGTGGCTCCATACCCATCTTATTCAGGATATGGTCTCTATTTGCCATCAAGCATTTAAAGGTTCTGTTCGTTATGCATGGGCAAGTGTTCCTACTTATCCGAGGTATAAATACATGCATCCCTCAACTGGCCTCTCTTGGAAATGTTTGCTTGACTTGTCTGCCTATGGTTGATCATATAAAACACAGACTGTCTGGTCGAGTTAATTTCTTGTTATTGATTTTAGATTGTAAATTCACTATAATAAATATTTGCCATAATTTGTCATTTAGTTTGGTTTACCACTGAGAATTCAGTTATAGAAGTACTTGATATGGTTACATGTTTATTTAACGATGGTTTTTGTTTGTACAGTGGGGTGATTGGATTTCTGATATGTGCAAAGGAGGGGCCACCAGTGGATTTTATGAATCCTATCAATCCTATTGAGAAGTTAGAGGGAGCACTCAAATATCAGAGAGAGCTTAGGTTTTACAACTCTGAGGTAATTACTCACCCAACCATTCCTTTTTCTTTCAAGTTTCCAGTCCCATGTCTTGGCTTGAATATATGTCTCCCCCCAAACCATATAGATTGCTTATTTATTTATTTTACACCTTGCTGAAATCAAGTAACGACATCTAAAGGGATGAACAAGTTTCTTGTCTTTGTCAATTAAAATGCAAATAAAGTTTGGATTTTGGAACTACAAATCAGAAATTTCATTAACTTGAGCATTCTGAGTTTAAGAAAAAAATATTGAGTATTAAAATGTTAAAGATTTTTTGTTCAAATTAAAATAGTAGTATTAATTTTTTGTTTTTGGATATGGTTTATAATATTCATAACATTGTTGTTTAATTTCAAGTAAAATAGAAAATATTAAGTTTTTGTTTTCGGATGATAATATTCACAACATTGTTGTTCAATTTCAATTGTTTTTTTGACCCCTCTGCTGGCACTTTTATATTTTCTTGCAGCATTTATATATATTCCCTCTCTCAACAATTCATTTCATTTGATAGTTATATTTTATTTGGATTCAACAAAATAAAAAATTAAGAAAATTGAGGAACGACCTTTTGGCCTGTCAATATGCCTTCTATTTGAGAAGCATGAACATCTTCTAAGAAGGTACCTTGTCTATTTCAGATACTGTCTTCATGGACACTTTAGACACATGTATGGCACATTGGCACCTCATAGATATGTCCATAATTTGAAATTAAATTTCATGTTTTATAGACTTCACTTACAAATCTCAAATACTCCACAGCAAAAGCATTATGTAATACAAATGCATTTTAAGATGTGTTATGTTTGACAATCTTGGAAACATGATGAACTCACTCCAAGTGTCCAACCTACCTTTCTTTTAAAAAAATAAATAATAGTAATAATAAAAAATAAATAAATTGACATTATAAACTTGGCCATTGTAAACAAAGGATGAAATGAATACTTATTTATGGTATAAGAATATAATTGTAACAAATAAAAATGGTAGGATTCTTCATTGATTTATCCATATACATCATCTTGCTTGGGAAAATAAAAAAATAAAAATGGGAGGATAGTAGTCTTAGTAGGTTAATACAATATTTTTTTAAAAAGATTTTTGCATGGTTTCTTTTTTAACATTATGCAATTCTTTAGTATAGAATTAGAAAATTAATTTAAGCTCCATAGTGAGTCATTCTGGTTGAGTAAAATTGTGCATGTCATAAGTTCATAACATATATGGTTGACTTTGTAATCCAAAATGTATATCGTCTTCCCACTTGTGTTGTACGGTATTATGTTTTATGCATACTGGCTTTTGACTCGAAAGAGTTTGAACTGCTATTTCTTCAAACAAACCAGCTCAATGTTTTGATAGCGTAGGTTAACTCCAACTCGCTTAGAAATATCTTATAAATCCCAAGTTCATTGGTTCCTCTATGGTTCACTAGAAAATCATTAGAAAGCTGGCCTGTTCATTGATTTGGATTTTCTTCATCCACAAATTAACTAGAGAAGGGCAAGAAATCTGGTTAACCAATATAACTTTGTTCTGAATACAAATTTTTGATTGTTGGGGCTCTTAACTTGATCATGTAATTCAGGCCCTAAACCCTAGGATAACTGCAAATAGTTTAGCACTTGCATGGATAATTATTATTATTTTTTTATTTTTTTATATTTTTTTGGGATAAGTTACATGGGTAATATTTCAGTGCTGCTGAACACATTGGAAGTATGTGACTTCTCTCTCTTTCCTTCCGCGCACGCACACACATATTCACATGCACACATGCATTCACTTGTACAAATAATAATGTTCTGTTGTTTACTGGACAGATTCACACCGCTGCCTTTGCCTTGCCATCTTTTGTGAAGAGGGAAGTTAGTTTTCACTGTGATTCTGTGACTCCATCATAGGGATTTGTATTAGCAGCTCCTTTTTTTTTTTTCTCTCGAAAATAAATGTTCCCATGGAATTGGACTGGAGGAGATGATTGCATGATTTACATGTAGCGAAGTATAGAGTCGGCCATGAGCTCTGCTTTTGTGGTTTAGCAATGATTTGCGCTTGAACATTTGTATTACGGGCACTTCAACTATTATATTCCAAATAACCTATCAGTATCATCTATAGTTTTGGAACATTATGTTCAGTGTATTGGGAATGTTTCTGGTGATTTGGTAGCAGCAGCAGTTTCTCATGATCCAAGAACATTGTGCAGGTTCCAAATTTATGAATGGCAAGTCCTTGATTAAAGACAATTATGTGAGCTTGGGAGCATCGAATCTGTGCCTTGATTTTGAAATTGGAGAGAGTCGCTCCAATTTCAAATTCAAGGCCCGGATTTGGTGCTCTCAAACGTAACTTCTTGTGTTTGTGGTTATGCCTGCTTATTTATTTATTTAATTAAACTCCGTATAAGTTCTAACCTGACAGTTCCAAGAATCCCTAATGTCCTATGATAGTTTTGCTATCTCTTGGAGGATGTTCAGAGGGTTTTCATCTTGAGTTGGGTTTAGAATGTAATGAGAAAGTTTGATGTGTTCACTGTTTGAACATTACATTATTGAATGAACCTTTTGCTTATATGAGAGGAACAGAATTGATGTGCCCATGGACTCATGGTAAATGCTGGGTTGCCAAAAGAGTAGAACCATAATTGATTTATTAACTTTGTACCAGAAAGGAGGCGGCTCTCTCTCTCTAAACCCTAGGGAGAGAAATACCCAATTGCCATCAGATCTTTCAATTTCCTTCAACTTTTGTCCAACAAATTTGTTCTCTGTTCATCAGAGATTTGTTTTCCTCTCCCCGTAGAGGTCCTCTGTCAATTAGAGTTTGGAATTCTTCTCCATGGTGGTGTGGTCTGTGAAGATTATGATGCCTTTCGTCCCCTCTCCATTCCGCCGACCCTGTGGGTTGCACCTATGGATTGAATGTTAATTTGGGGTTTTTGAAAATTGGAAAGTTTGCTACTCCTTTTTTTCGACTTTTTCCTTTTGATCCGGGTATTATTATGTTGTCTTTGTTATCTTTGTTAGTGTTAACCTTATTTCTGTACTCGTTTGCTTTCAGTTTTCTCGGTTTGCCTTCCTCTTTATCCATGGTTTTTTATCCATGAATTTCAGTGGAGGTAGTACTGTGCCTATCCTAGTTGCAAGATCTCTGGTTCAGAAAAGCAATATTTTGGTGTTTGGATCCGTTGGTCATCGCTCTACTCGACGATGTTTCTCTGTTGGAGTTATCGTTCACTGTTAAACCTTGTCCTTGTTCAAGTTTCCAAGTGCGCAATCAAAGTTTATTTGTTTTGATTGCTAGTCCGGGTCGAAGTTGTTTCTCTATTGTGAAGGCTTCAAAGTTTAGGAATTTGTCGGCGAACTTGATTCTTCCTCCTTCTCAGTTGCCGGCGACTTTGGTTCCTTCTTGAAACCCACGTCATCTTATGGTCTGTTAGATTGAACTTCAAAAATCAACAGTCATGATTGTTCTGTACCATCAGCTGTACCATCAGCGTGGTGGGTACGTTACTTTGGATATCTATATTGGTGCAGCGGGCCCTATGGGGTGTCTTGTCTTGCCTTCACCAAATCACTTGGGTGATACACAGGCAATGGTTTATCTAGTGACTATGAACTTTGTGGATATGGGTTTTGATTTTAGTCTAACCCACTTTCTTGTCACTATTATGGGCAGTCCCTATGTCCAGTCATCTGATTTCATGGTTTTATACGCTTTCTCTGCGTGTTGATCTAGGTGTGTCCCATGCCTTTGCGTGTAGTGTTATTTAGTTGGGTTGTGCAAGAACCATGATTGATTTTATTTACCCTTTTGTAAGGGAGCATAATTTTACCTAGACTAATGCTCTGTTTGAGGAAGGGAGAGAAGAAGGGATGGATAAAACATTCCTAAGAAAGAGATTATGTATTTCCTTCTTTTTGTTGGGTTGGATAGAAAGAAGAGAATAAGTGTTTTTTTTTTTTTTTTTTTTTTTTTTTTTTTTTTTTTTTTTTTTTTTTTGACTTGGCAATGATTAGTGGTTGCGTCGGAAAGAAAAAAGAAAATAAACTCATAATTACCAACGAGCCAGTGGTTTAACGGTATCGTCTTCTTATTTCTCAAAGGGAGGTCAGGAGTTCAAGTCTCGGAAAAGATATGTGTGTTTGAGTACCAACTAGAAAAAAAAAAAATAATTAGTGGGGTTAGATGTTAAAGAGGGAGATGAAATAATGGGTGATGGGTTTCCAACACGAGCCAAAGGCTCCAAACAATACACACGGCTGGGCTACCATTGCTTATTATGTTAGTTAAGAAAGAAGGAAATGGAAAGTTTTAATTTTTCTTATTATTATATTCAGCAATATTTATAATATTATAATTTATAAAGGATATTATTATAATTTAAAATTGATATAATTTAAAATAATATTTAATTTAAAATTTCTAAAATAATCCACTTATCCTTTCTCCTTTCTTCTGCCATTTTAAATGAAATTGTCCCTATATTTCCGTGCAATAATTTCATGTGTTTCCATTTATTTTGACATTTTCAAATTGACCAGCAAATATAAGAAGCCAAGTTGATATGATCAACTGAATTTTCCAATGGGGACCACAAATTTCCATTCATTTTGACATTTTCAAATTGACCAGCAAATATAAGAAGCCAAGTTGATATGATCAACTGAATTTTCCAATGGGGACCACAATTCCATAAATTTGATCCACTGTAGTATCATTCTTAAACAAAATTGTTTTGATTTATTTCAACCATTCTATGATTGGAATAGAAAATTGTGTTATACAGTAAATTTGGAATTTTTTTACATGGATAAGAGTTAAATATGATATACTATACTTCCTTGCCTTTCAAAAAAACAAAAAATTTGAAATTCTATTTTTTTACGGGAGCACTTGGATATGTGATTTTCTTGCTAAATATATCTATTTATATGATATAATTCCTTTTCTATGTTAAAATCAATGAATAAAAATTAAGAATAATGCTTTCAAGAGAAATTCTTCATATAAAAAAAAAAAAAAGGGAACGATACTCTCCAAAAAAAATTCTCTCCAAGCATCTACAGGTGTTAATCCTACGACTATTAATGTGTCACATCAACAACTTATTTCACTACTAAATACACTACTAAATACACTAAAACACAACACTTTTTTACCATTCTGAAACTTTATTTTTCTATTCATAAATTATAAGAAATTAGCATTGCCCAAATTTGATATTTCTACGTAAACTCTTAAAATAACTTTCTTATCATTCTTAAACTTTCTTTTTCAATTTTTTCTACCATCAACAATCTTTGATTTTTACAATGGAAGATTTGCAAGATTAATCCAACATATATTTTTATTCACAAATTCTAAAAAAAAAATAATATTGCTCAAATTTGAGATTTCTACATAAACCCTTAAAATAATTTTCTTACCCTGAAATTTTATTTTTTCGATTTTCTCTACCATCAACAATCTTTGATTGTTACAATTGAAGATTTGTAAGATTAATCAAACTTATATTTTTATTCACAAATTCTAGAAAAATTAGTATTGTCCAAATTTGATATTTCTACATAAATCCTTAAAATAATTCAAATTTCCAAATATTCATGCTATGTGAGATTAATAGAAGGATTGACTGGTTTTGAGAGAAGGATTCAATTGTAGAAAGGAAACTGATCCCTAATAGAAAAGTTGGTTGAAAAAGCGTAAAACTTGATGTGTTTTAATCCAAACGTATTCAGTAGTGAAATAAGTTATTGATGTAACACCTTAGTAGCAGTATGATTAATACTTGTAAATACTTGGAGGGAACTTTTCTTGGAGAAGATGCTTTCCCAAAAAGAAAAAAGTCATGCACTCTCTTTTTAATTATTGGATTAAAATATTTTAAAATTTATAAAAACATAAAATAAATTAATTAATACAACTTTCAATAGCTTAACAAAATCCTCTAGTTTTTTTAAGGTAAAATTGATCAGTACTTTGATGTCTCAATTAAGCGAATTATGTGAGAATAATTTCAACTGTCCATACAATTAGTTTTTCGACCGTTCAATCAGTTTTTATCTAATTGTCAAAAGATAAATAAATTACTTAAATAACTAATTAGAAAAAGAAAAAAAAAAAACCAAAAATAAACGACTTTTAAAAATAAATAAATAAGATTCGCGGCAGACATTGAATCATATAGACTGAATCTGGCACGCGCCGTCCACACTCCTCTTCCTTTTCCTCTCTCTCTCTCTCGCGCACACCGTCAATCAAAACCATACGCACACCTTCAATCAAAACCATCCTAAAGGTATGGTACTTTCAATCTTCATTCTTCACTTTTGGGTTTTCGATTTCATCTGGGAAAATCCTCAAAACAATTATCCTTTTTTTTTTTTTTTTTTCCTTTAATCATCACAATTATCTAACGTTCTGACGTATTGACTGTGTTGATTTTGATTTAATCTGTTTATGTTTGCATGAAATTTGTCTAAGAAACATCGGAATTGAAGCTTTTTTTTAAATGAATTATTTTGGGATAAGTTTGAAATGATACATATTGAGCTGTGTTATATGCTTTTCTAGTCACGAATAATGATTTCCAGTAGCCATGTTTCTCAGATGCTTGGCTGCTGATAAAATGTGGGAAATTGATACCCCCTTGGTTGCTATTAACGAAAATTTAGGAAAAGAACAAGAAATTAGAATTTCAAATCTTACAGATTTTTCATCATCTGAACCATGGAAAATAATGACCTTTCTTGTGATACAACATTATTTTTGACAGCAAAAGAATATAGAATTCTGAAATTCAGAAGTTTAGAAATCTGTTTCTCTGTATATATGAATCTTATTCATTCTAAGTATAATACCTTTTATAAAAATATACACAAAATATAGTTTCCCCACTTTTTGACAAACCAAATGGAGAAAAAATCATTAAAGGGCATTAGCCCATATGGTATGATCTATCCTTCTGGGAGGTTGAGTGTTCGAGCCCTGCTATGGGCATAAATTGTGGTTGGTGCGCGTTTACCTGAACTTTCGGGGAAAAAAAAAATAGAGAAAATTTCTAAAAATTACAGAAACCCTGATTTTTTGGCTTATCTTCAAAATGTTATCCTCAGTTTTAGTAAGATTCTTTGTCAAAAAAGGTTTTTGGTGTGCCTAATGCTTTGGATGAGTGATGATACTTTGAACATGGTGCAATGCTGCTTGAATGATGTCAATGCTGTTCAAACTTTTTCTCAGTAATTCACATTAGAGTCTTGGTACCCCCTGGACAAGGTGTTGTGCAGGACACCACCTACTATTGTTTTGGCGATATTAATTTTGTGTCGTATGGGGCCCAAGCATTTGTTGTCCTTGTCTATGTTTTTTGTATTGGTAGTGCGTCCTTGCTATAAGAAATCAGTGTACTGGTGTTTGGGAACATGCAAATACATAAAATCTGTGCTCGAACACTAATGTAAAGTTAGTTGTTCAACTTCAAAGTGCTTACGGGATGCCTAGTCATAATATGGAAAAGAGAGAAGAAAAAGAAGAAAGTTCTTGGGGAGTGATTCTAAGCTTTGATTTTGGCTAAAAAGTTGCTCATGTAAGGAACTGAAATTCATCGGTTGACGCTTTGGAAGTTAAAACTACAATTTAAAGAAGAGTTATATAAGTTTCAAGCTTCAATGTTCGGATTGAATCTGGGTTGCTTTGAGGTTGATTGTATTTATCCTATGTTACATGGACTTGGGTGCATGTATCTAGTGTGGGTGCGTATCCAAGTGTTTGACCTTCTTCAGTCCCAAATTTTAGGACTCAGGCACTTGGCTTGAAATGTGTCCAATAGTTGGGTATCGTTACGTGGACATGTCCTATTTAATATGTTATATATATATATATATATATATGATGCTACTATTCTTTATAAATATCATCAACTATGATTTGAATTAAATGAAATGTGGTGACAAAAGGGGGATTTCATCAATCTTCGAAGTTGGAAACCTTTCTTTACTATCAAATTTAAGATTTTCTTCTTCTTCAATCATTATATGTAAAGTAGTTCTTTACTATTAATTTGGGGATATGTGTCAAACACATCCCATACCCATGTCCATGTCGTGCTGTATTGTAGCAAATTTGCACAAGGTAGTTCTTGCTTATGTTTTTCAGAGAGTACTGGAAAAGAAGCACAAATCAATTGTCTTGCTGCATCACCAAACCCAAATTGCTTCTGCATTTTCTTTAACTGCTTGTGAATTACCATTCCAATTGCTAATGAGTAATGAAGATTATAAGTAACCCTTCCCCCAAAAACCAAAAATAAAGATAGATGCACCAGTTTGCAGATATTACATACCCATGATTTATTCTCATTTAACACACTGTTCTCTTCTTATCTTAATCAATAAATGATTGGCCCCTACTGATGAGATGATGGCAACACGTGTTAGACTATGTCTTATTTCTTTCTAAATTCAACTATTTAGTGCATATGCTAGGTTTCATGGAAAATGCTTTTCTTATCTCATGACATTTCTGTTACAAATTTCAGCCTGGTTAATCTGTTTTGTTGTGGATTTTTCAGGTTCTACTTTATTTGTTGCTGCATATCAACAGATAGATGAAGCTGCATGTGCTTTCAATTTGCATGGATCAGGCGTTGTTTTCAAATTATGTAATTAGTCCTTCACCCTTGACACACGATGCATGCATAACTGATTGTTTTGTTTATTAATTTCGGATCGCTGCATTATAAATCAGCTTCTTTTCAATGCAACTAAGGTTTTCTGAAGTAATTTTCTAGGGAATTGTATCTGAGTTAGAGACACTGTGTTGTCTTCTGATTTGAAGAAGTCATTCTTTAGATGTGCTTCCTAGTAAAACCATTTGCTATACTTGGACCTTGGAGAAGGGCTTCAGACGACTCGTTGTGCTTGTCCCTTTTGGTCAAAACTTGATGTGTTTTCTAGCATGCTGCATTTGTTCACTTCCTTTCCCCTTTCAGACCTTGCTTATTAAATGCTTATAACTCATGTTCTTATTATTGATCTTGTTCTCTTTTTCCATTTTTGCAGGTCAGCCAAACAACTAACTCCTCAGATTTGACTTCCTCCAACCTACGTGGAAAATTTACACTTGTGCCATGTAGACCTCGTGTGAAAAGGACAGTTTTTAGGGATCAAACCTTTCAATTCTCATTAAGACAGAAAGGGAACCCAGTCCCAAGGACTATTGTCTTTGCTATTCCGAAGGGAAATGATGAAGTTGAAAGAGGAGGTTCACATGTTTGCGCTGATGATTTGATGCTTTATGCTTTGGAAAATGATGAGATTTCTAAGGTTCCAGATAAAGGTGGTGTTGCATTCGTAGCAAGCTCAGGAGCAGACGTCTCTGGAAGCGCAGAGATCCTAGGAAACCATGAAAACCTTCTTGATAAGCTGAAGGCTGTTCAGTTACAGGTATTAGCAATGGAACAATGGAATTCTACCCAAGTTAAATTGTGTAACAGGTATGTCTATTATGTTAACTGATGTAAATTGTTGATATGGATGCAATTCTTTTATCCTTTTCATGTCCTCTGATAGATCTTCTAGTGAGATACATCTGAACTACTTTCTGAACTATTTACCTCCATCCAACATGCACTTATCCTACCACCAAAGGCTGTAACCTAGTGGTACTTCCTCACCTACCAAAGTAGAACGTTAGAATGTTCAAGTCCGTACAGGGGCAATGTGGGTATGTGAGTTTCTTGCCATGGAAAAAAAAAAAAGTCACTTACCATCAAACATGCACTGAGGAATATTTTGATAAAGAACTTGTACCATAAGCGACTGATGGTTGTATTTAGACCTGTCAACGGATCGAATTCGGACCAGATCTCGTCTGATCCGATTGGGATAAGGAATATATGTGATTTGATCCAATGACCCAATGGATTATCTGTTAGTGAATCCTATCCAATTCTGTAGTTTATCGGATTTCCAATTCGATAACCCGATCCATTAAGAGGTATATTTTTTTCTTGTTAAAAATTTCAAATTAATAATAATAATAATATTTTTTAAAAAAAAGAGAGAAAGAAAGAAAGAGAAGGGCCGAAATATATGACCAGAAAGAGAGAAAAAATTAGATAGTTGATTCTTTGTTAAAGAAAAAAACAATGAAGAGTGAAAAAAACCAATAGGAGGAAGAAGAATTAAAAAAAAAAAAAAACCTTATATACTTCGTACTTAAGGTTCTAATACTATACAAGATAAAACTCTATATAGACAACATCTTTGATTAGAGCCAGACTTGACCGTGGTCTTTGTTCACAAGAATGGCTTTATTTGTTCTCTCGCAGCAAAGTCCATCATATCTGTGTCTTTGGATTCGATCATTTCGCTCTTCTATTATGCCTTAATGAAAGCCCCTCCTCTGTTAAAAGGATTAATTTTTTCATCAACTGCATACCAATTGAATGGCAAATAATATATGTATAATATATTTGTTTGGATCGGATTGACCGTAATCCATCGGATTTGTTAACTGAACGGATTATCAGCTTTGGATCATTAACGAATTATCGGATTAAATACGCAATCCATATCCGAGTAATCATATTTGACAGCTCTAGTTGTATTTTGCGTACATATGCTTCATTAATTATAATTTTTCTCTTAACGAGCCATCATAAATGATAAATGTGATGTGTTTTCAATTTTTTCCTCATTCTGTTATCCCTACTGGCAGTATTGGATTCATTCCCAAAATGTTCTCGCTTGATATGATATTTTAGTATGATGACAACTTTTTCGTGGTCCATAAGAGAAGTAGTTCGTTGATTTTATGCCTGCATGGACAGTGCAAGTGTTAGGTGCTAGCAACTAATATTTATTTATGTTCATTGATTTCCTGATATCTGCATTGCAAAAAGTTTTAACAACCTTCCTGAAAATAAAGACTCTGGAGTAAAGGTTTTTAATCATTGCATGGGAAGGAGGCTGTAGTACATATATCAAACCTTTTCTCTAGAAGTCCTTTTAAATTTTTATCGTTATTTATTATTTTGGGTATTTATCAAATATCTAATCCATGATTTCTTTGTGTTAGCAGAAATTATTTGGTGAGTGCATCAAACCTAATACATTATCTGGCACTACAAAGTCTTGATGTTGAGCAGCTCAAAGATGATCTTTCTTCCATTGGTCTATTGAATTTGGAGACCATCAATCCACACGTCCTTGCAAGTCTCTCTGCTGGCGTACAGTTGTTGGAGAACATGAAATCAAGCTCTCTAAACAGCAGAGGGAGTGTTGGTGATGAAATTTCCTCTCCAAAAAGTTTGGACAAACAAACAAAAGGAGAGTACACTATAAATAGAATGAGAAACAAGTCGTCCTCTAATAAGAAATTACTGCTGGGCACCCTTCAAGATGATAGAACGACTCATATCATGGTTACAGTCGGTCAAGAAGCTGCAGAAAGTGAAACACTTATAACTGATCTTCTCAAGTTGGGAACCACCATTATTCGTATAAACTGCGCACATGGAAACCCAAGTGTGTGGAGTGAGATTATCAGAAGGGTGAAAAGAAGCTCCCAGATGCTGGAGAAACCATGTCGAATTCTCATGGATTTGGCTGGACCAAAGCTCCGAACAGGTAACCTGAAGGCTGGTCCATGTGTAATGAAAATATCTCCTAAAAAGAGTGCCAGCGGAAATGTGATCTTCCCTGCCCAAGTTTGGTTATCACCTAAAGGAGCAGGTCCCCCACCTGCTCATTTATCTCCTGATGGTGTACTTTATATAGATGGCCAAGAGTTTCTCAGTAAACTTGAGTTAGGTGATGCTGTTAGATTCCACGATGCTAGAGGAAAGCAAAGGACACTAAAAATTTCTAAGAAGTTCCCTGTTTTTTCCGGTGTAGGGTACATGGCCGAGTGTAACAGGAATGCTTATGTTCAATCAGGAACAGAGTTGTATATTAAGGGAAAGAAAGGAAGATTCTCAGTTGCAGTTGTATCAGATGTCCCTGCTGTAGAGCAATTTGTCAGAGTGAGAGTTGGAGACTTGCTAATCATATCGCGAGATAGCTCAGATGAACATGATGAATCCAGTGAATCCACAACAGGTGCTCATAGGGTAACTTGTCCATCTGGATATCTTTTTGATTCAGTCAAACCTGGAGAGACCATTTCTTTTGATGATGGGAAGATTTGGGGAGTAATTCAAGGAACTAGTATTTCGGAGATCGTTGTTTCAATCACTCATGCAAGTCCGAGAGGTACCAAACTCGGCTCTGAGAAATCCATTAACATCCCAGAGAGTAATATTCGGTTTGAAGGCCTTACTTCAAAGGATCTCATGGATCTTGATTTTGTTGCTACTCATGCTGACATGGTGGGCTTCTCATTTGTCCGAGATATTTGTGATATTGTTGTTCTCCGCCAAGAACTTGAAAAGCGGAAGCTTCGAAACTTGGGAATTGTTTTGAAGATTGAGACAAAGGGTGGTTTTGAGAAATTGCCTGTCATGGTACTGGAGGCAATGAAGTCCCCCAACCCTTTGGGGGTCATGATCGCAAGAGGTGATCTTGCAGTAGAGTGTGGATGGGAAAGGCTGGCAGATATACAGGAAGAAATTCTGTCTATCTGTTGTGCTGCCCATATACCAGTCATTTGGGCAACTCAGGTGCTAGAGTCGCTCGTTAAGTCTGGTGTCCCTACTAGAGCTGAGATCACTGATGTAGCTAATGGAAGGAGGTAAGCAATCGAATGGTACTTTATTATCTTGATTATTTCATGCTCTATTTTGTTACTGAAAGGCTGGAAAGGATGCTTATTTTATTTATTAATTTTTTGTTCGTGGGCGAGGGGTGGGTGGAATAGTTATGTTATTCTGGATATACAAAGCCAAAAACTATAGGTGATATTATATAAATGAGTTACATTGGTAATTGGTTACTGCCTCTCTACCAGTTATCATAAGAGGCAAGTCCTGTGTTCAAATCTTGACACTTGCCTTAATATTGTAATACATGGCCCTGTTTGGTCCACTTATGTAGGGTAGTCTAGCTACAGATGAGGAGGTGGTTGTTATATATACAAGTCACGTCTCTCTTTAGCCGTAGCTTTTTTGGTAGCTGATTGTTAACAAAAATCTCCATTTGACCAAGCCTAATGTGTGGTGAGCTTTATCATTCTCAAAAACATTAGTTTCAAATGTTTATGTTCTTTCCGTTTTTTCTCTGTTTTCTCAATAACCAAACTACAGTATTACAGCTGAAGTTGTTATTTTGTAGGTGCCAGAAAGTCCAATCTTTTTATATTCTTTAATGGATAAACTTGCAAATAAGTTGATCATTGCCTTTTCGACCAATCGACCCTAGTCTTAGTGGCCTCAGGTCTAGAACATATTTTGCTCCCTACTGATTCTCTCTTGCTAATACCTTTTCTTTTCTTATGCAAGCCCATCACTTTAGGTAGGGAACTAGTTTACCCAGTTCCAAAGCCTTTCTAATCAATGGAAATCACATTAAGCCAATTCATTTCCTTTCCGATTAGCCCATGATCGATTCAAAAGCCATGCCTTCCCAATGACCTCATGATTTCCGATATTTTAATTTAATCTTGAAGGAAACCTCTCATTTCCATAACCAAATAATCTGTTTTTATTTTTATTTTTCCCCTTTGCTTGCCTTTGAAATAAATTTCACTTAAATGTTTGACAAAAATTAAGGAATATTCCCGTGCTTTGGCAGGGCAAGTTGCGTCATGTTGAACAAAGGCAAACATATCCTGGAAGGTGTTTCAACTTTGGATGCCATTTTGCACAGCAGGTCTGCAAAGGTGAAAGCAGAACTGAAGCCTCTTCTATTATCAAAGAAATCATTTTAGTTTAATATCATTTGACAAGATCGCCTACTTGGGGTGTCTCAGGTGTTGTAAATATTCTTTGCTTGAGTTTGGCATTCTTATTAATCATAATTTTGCTCGTTTGGTTGAGCTTGCTTATCTGAGACAATGGTGTTCAATTTTGGGTTAGGATCATGGTAGTTGTGTTATTTTTGTTTCGAGTTGCATTAATTGTTCAGTGTTCATATGCTGTCTTTACAACCCCGGCCTTGCATTGATCATGAAATGTTATGTTTTTGGTTTCTGTAACCTTTCAGTGTAGATAGGCAGTATTGCATCTCTCTCGGGAATACGAATTGTCCGTCTTGGCTGCAAAAATAGTCCCAATTCTGAGCATGGTTGACAACATTTTGAGTTGGGGGTTAGAAATGCAGTAAATATGTTGCAGTAAAATATGTTGAACCACTTCAGTGTAGATAGGCAAGTCACTGGGTCGGAGGTTAGAAAAGCAGTTTTGTTGCAGTGGATCACATTATATATTTTGATGATCTAGGAATATGATGATACACGTGACTGGATCGTCGATTCATCATCATCATCATCATCATCCTTGTTTGAGTCTCTGGGCGGTTCCATGAAGTAATATTTCTTTTTTATTCTTTTATATTACTCTTTTATATTACAAGAAATTTATCTTCTTGAATTTAGTTTTTTAAAAATTATTTCGATAACTTCATTCCATGTTAGTTTGTTCCCCAATTCGGTCTCGTAGATTCTACACAAGCTAATTTTACTCTCTTTACTACTGGATTTACAAGTCATTGTTGTATATTTCAATACCATCTAAGTTGTTTTTTTTTATTTTTTTATTTTTATTTTTTATTTCGAGAAAGGTTCAAGCAATGTATAAATTAAAAACTAGCCAAACTGGGAAATACAAAATGAGAACCCAAAAACACAAAGCCCAAACAGAGCTTAATGGCAATGAAAGAGCCCAAAAATCCCAAAGGAGCAACATAACCGTCGAATATGAGTTAATTCAACTGGTTAGAACTTAGAATCAGCTGGAGCCATAGCCTCACCACTTGGGGAGGCATTCTGTTATCTGTCCAACGGTCTAGGAGGAGGTCTGATGAAGGTCGAAGGCAAATCCCAAGCTCGACGGGCACGCTGAGCAGCCAATCCATTATTGGAGGAGTGAGTGAGTTCCTAATCTCCAGTAAAATCGAACGTTGAGATTTGCAGGAACCGTGGAAGATGCGAGAGTTTCTCACAATCCAAACACGGTAAATGGTTGCTAAGAGCGCTAATTTGTTGATGGAGTTTGCGGTGCTCTTGATTTCCAGTGGTGGAACGCCCGGAGGATTAGGTCATTCCATGATATAGAATCCACATACTTCGTATATGATTCCAGATTGGGTGGATGAATGAGCAACAGAAGAATAGGTGATTCAATGTTTCATTCGAGGAGTCACAGAAGGTCCATTCAAAAAACACTTCACAACTCCACAAAATGATTTGCCCATAATTTGCAAGTGTTGCACCATACAATGATCAATATAATCACGCACAATGAGCGACTGCAATAAAAGTATAAAAGCCCTTGTGCAGTAGTTGTGCTATGTTTGGGAGCACCGAATCAGAGCCTTGGATATGGAATTGGAGAAATTTCAGTTTAAACTTTGAACTAAAATCCCTCCCATTCCCAAATCTAAGGTGCCGATTCGGTGTTTCTAAACACAAGATCAGGATTGACAATTCACAAATTGAAGCAAAACCCAACAGTATCTACAATTACAAATAACAATAATAATCATTACATCAGTAATCACTGTTAGAACAACAGAATGTTTTCATATACAACATACATAATCTAAACAGGGACTGGATACACTCACATAAACTATAGCTATTTAATCACACACTGCTTGCTTCCAGTTTCACATCTTGGAAAACAAAACTAAGAAAAGATAAATTGCTAATGAGATCTAAGATGCCTATTTATCTTCAGCACTAAAATCAGGCTCTGCTGGTTTCTGAAGCAATATAGGCGATATTCTCTCCGGCATCCTTGCTTTTCGTGCACCATTGCGCCGTAAAGCACGGAGTGCATTAGCTGCGAATCGTGATGCATAGATGGTGGCACCTAGACTTGGCGAGCTCCCACCACCCTTAGCTAACGCATCTTGCAACCTATCTTCCTCCTCCCGAAGAGACTCTTCCAGCTTCTTCCTGCAATGGCGGCGCCATGCAGCTTGTATGAAACAAGCTGCCCAAGTCCTCCATTGCTGTGAGTAAAACCTAAAAGTGTGGCGGAGTTGTTTGCTGTGGAGTCGCCGGAATTGAGAGGCAACAAACTTCAAATCATCAGCTGTCAAGGCAAATGCTTCAACTTCTATTAGGGCTTGAACGGTTCTGGTTGAGATAGGGAGGTTGGAAGAGGTATGGGGATCCAGAGCCCAAGTAAGAAGCTCCTCTCCACAAAAGTCACCAGCTTGAAGACAAACCGAGTTAAAGAACCCAGTTCTTCCACCATTGGTGGTTATAGTCGATAACTTGCCCCGCATTACAAACAGCATCTCATCAACTGGGTCACCCTCCCGCACGATGAAGCTGTCTTCTGTGTAGAGCACTGGCTTGAGACGGTCACACATTGCATCCAATAGTTGTTCATCCATTTTCTCAAACATTGGCACCTTAAAAGCATTCAAGAAAGAAGGGTAAGAATAAACCCATGATTTTGTGATTCTTCAAAAAAGTAAAGTATTCGTGTCGAACACAAAAAATACTCGGACATGAGTATAAAATATGTGTTCGACACTTTTGGTTGGATATGCACCGTAAAAATAAAAAATAAAAAAATCAATTTTATTATATTATTACTTCAAAACAAGTGAAATGCCTATATCAAATACTAGGGACATATGGAGAGGTCGATTGTATAACCTCTCCTCTCCAAATGGAGAGGTCGAGGGTTCAAGTCCCATTAGGAACGTGGATAATGGACATGTATGTTTGCTTTAACAATTTTTTTTTTTTTTTTTTAATAATAATATGTAACACAGAGACATTATTATGAAGCATCAGGTCTCATAATCGATTCCTATTAGGTGCAAACAATTCCTTGGACGGGGGATGTGTACTAGGGAAAAAAAAACCCAAATAAAATAAAACTATTAAATAACATGACCAATTAACAATGTCCATGTGTCCCCTATTTGGGAATTTGACACATCCGACGTGTGGATACATACTTGTACCCAATACACGTACCTGAGTCCAAGTAACATAAGCTAAATGTGTAATAGAGTAACATAAATAAGAAACCAAGCTGCTTCTTAGCATCTTGGGCTCAGTTCACTAGGGTTTTATAAATTAAATTGGTCAAGATCAATTGTTCACGAGTCTAGTCTTGCTGTGCCTGCTATTGCTCGAGCCCAACAGTTATTCAATTTATAAAAATGAGACTAATAATTGAGTACGTATTCAGATGGTCTTCTGGTGAAAGTTTTCAATAGCAAAGGCGTGGGTTCAGGATTCTGACATAAAAATGCATGTATAAGTAAAACAAATTGGCAAGCTTTATGTAGCTAGTGAAAATGCCAATGCTTGGCCAAACATAAACCAATGAGCTAGACCAGTTGGGTCCAAGTTCAATCTTGGCTGAGATTAAGCTCACAAGTACTCGTGTGCAATATTTCCCGATTCAGAAAAGCGCACAACTTGACCAGCAAAGCTCGAACAACACCAGACACAGCTAGACAAGATTAATGAACAATGGATGCTGGCACTGTGCAATGTGTAGCATAATCCCTTACAGACTCGAACATAAACAAGAACATCTAAAACGAAAGGTCAACAAAGTAATATAGGACTAGAAATGTGACAATTAATTGAGTAGGTATTCAGATGGTCTTGTGGTGAAATTTTCAAAATAGCAAAGGTGTGGGTTCAGGATTCTGACATAAAAATGCATGTATTAGTAAGCTAATTAGCAAGCTTTATGTAGCTAGTTGACAAGCCCATGCATAGCCAAACATAAATCAATGAGCTAGACCAGTTGGATCCAAGTTCAATCTTGGCTGAGAATAAGACAAGCTTGGGGAACCCAATCCTCAGCTCAACTCATATGCATCCAACCTGCAGATAAGCTTCAAAATACATAACGACAACATAACTATGAACAAAACTAATAATCTAAGGGATGAGAGGAGAGCCCAATGCTGAAAGGATGAGACTTGCCCATGCACAGAACACATATAACACTAAACCATGACAATTGTGTCTACTATTTTAACTCTTAGTTATCGACTTTTCATAGTATAACAAGATGGCAAAATTATGAAAAAATCTCGAATTATTTTCCATGACATACTGAACTATTTTAAAACGAGACATTCATTGGGCCTGGTTGGAAGCATGGAAGCAAATACATCTACAACAAAATTTAAAATACCAGCTATACTCCTTGGAAAGGCACACTAAGTACAAAAACAATTAGATAAGGCCAAAACTCACTCTCATCAACAGATCCAAACAAAGATGGCGCTTGATATCCCTCCTCAGGTCCTTGGGCAAGTTGCGAACCAGATTATCTTCATCAACACCTCTAGTTTCCTGCCATTTGTATTGTTCATACCGCTTTATTCGCTCCCTCAGGTTGTCAGGGAGTAAACGATGGGACATCCATTGTTCTGCATCTCGCCTTTTCACTCTCATCTCCTCCAACCTTGTCGTTGTGGACTGCAGATATGTCTGTTGCAAAGTACATTCAGTTATTAAATTTCAAAATAGACATGCCATAAAAATGTATAGTATTAGTGTGTTTAGACCATCTCGTTGAGCCTCTCACACTTGCCAATCTAGCAGTCAGCCTGATCCCATATTCTTTTATAGAAAAAAGATTTGATAAATAATAGTCAACAAATACGGATTCATTTATCAACAGATTTTTTCTTACATTTGAACTCATTTCAATAATTCTTTTCGTTGCTTAATAGGTGCAATTGCTGTAGCGCATCAATAAAAAAAAAAAAATTAGAACTAGGAATCCAAATCCAGTTTTGTTCCAAGTTATCACATTCATTTCCCTTCAATTCTAATTGAATTCGTGTATACAATAGAAATGTTTTTAGTTTGATCTATTACTAATAATTTTTTTTCTTTCTTTTTTTGTTTTGTAATCCTGGCAAACAACACACACACCCACATGCCCCTATAGGGACTTGAACCCTCAACCTTCCACTTTGGAAGGTGAGGAAGTACCACTAGACTACAACCTTTGGTGGTCCTGCTGCCATATTCTAAACTCCCACTATAGCCAATCTAATTTGAGATGGCAAGTTAATATGAGATTTGGGTAAATGGCCCAACCTACACCTATTGGGATGGGGATCAGAACTATGAAACAAAAAGGAGCATAAATGAGAAGAAAGAGTGAACCTGATTCGGGTTCAGGACAGGGTCAGAAACACCTATACCCTTGCCCACTCGTCCAACTTACATAGCCCATACATGTGACTTAAGAACCTACAACAGACTTTGCTAACCAATGTTCCCAGAGAAGTTTGATGTAACAGAAAGCACAATGAAATGACATAGTTTGAAGCTTACCAAATTGTTGAATATACAGATAGTTTTGATGCATTATAAAATACTACTTACATAATAAGCAGCAACATTGGGAAAGTACCCCATCCAAAACCCGCTCATTTGCTTCCCTAGTTTTAATGGCTGTTGTTTTTTAAATTCCGGTAAAGAGATATTGGACCTATTGTTTCCAACCGAAAAAAATATAAAGAAAAAAGTGTATCCATGATATTGATGAGGCATATCAAATTTGTATCCGCTATCATTCCATTGCCTGCTAAGCAGCTATTCAACCCTAAATAGTGGAACTTTACTTCATTTAAGAATTAACAATCTGCTATCATCAAAACATGAGCAAGTGCAGCCTGTGAAAGAAGCTCTTTTACATCAGTACTCGGGGAATGCATGCCCAAGTGTTTTATGGAGTAATAAAAAAACTTGAAAATTTTGATGAAATAATATTCATATCGTGCTCTAAGTGCGTGCTTTCAATGTTTAGAACATACTTTGTGCCCTACAAACAGCTAAGACATCCCTCATGGTTAGTCACAAACAACTAAGAAACTGTAATGTATAAATATTTAACACCGACCTGCATATTCCCAATGAGGAACGAAAATAACACCAAGCCAGCGATGGAAATGAAAATTGCAAAACAAATTTCCCAGACAAAGGTACTTGTTTTAAGGTTTTGACCTAGAGAACTGCAAAAATGAAACAAGGAAAAAGTATCAGATATTAATCCACAAGTTACCACTATAATCCACTACTCAATGGTAATCTGTAAAATGCGCATTTATCGTCATGAAAGTAGGAAGCCAACATAAAGCCTATTTGGAAAAACAAGAAGACGTGCGTGTAGACACAACACGCACACACACACACACACACAGAGAAAGAAAGACCCTTCATTTGATGCGATTAGCAACTCTTTACACAAGTACTTCCAAGTGCAGAGACAAGGGGAGGTTCTGACTACATAATTCGTTAAAAATAAATAAATAAATAAAAGCAACACAGGATTCTATATGAAAGACCAACTAGTTGGCGAATAAATCTGATACTAGAAGGCCAGGAATCTGTGGCGCATGCAATCACAATTCATGTAGAGAAAAAAATAAATAAGTGAGAGAGAGAAATTAGGAGAGGAGAGGAGAGGAGAGGAGAGAAAATGTAACTGCTCTTCTGCACTCTCTTTATATGGACTCACCCAGTGTCCTTTTCTATATAATTACTGTAGCATTACATTCAAAAATTGTAGATAGACCATGAGTTAAGACGACAAATGAGCCCAACTTAGTCTAGGATTAATATCATAGAAAAAATATATATATCAACAATAATCTCATTGTGCATCTGTGCTAAGTTATGTACAATGCAATATCATGCACATCCATATATCTACCTGTATAAGGCATGGATTTGATGCAGTAAACAAGTAGTGTAGCAGCAGAAACAGCATTAGTACTATCCATAAACTACAGCCTAGTATTTGATATTCTTGAATGCTTCAATTAATGTTCAATCACCACACATGGAGTTCTATGCAAGCCAGTGCATCAAGAAAGACATTTACAAAAAAAAAAACTTTAAAAAACACTATTGCAAAACAAAACGAATATGAAAGAGGATCTTATGTGCGCATACCTTAAATTTTGTAATCCCCACCAGAAACAGTAAAAGAACTTCTGTGGAAAATCTGTTGATTCCACAACACCAGACTGAAGGGCATTAAGGAATATTCCAAAATCAAAAACTGTTGCATTTTCCGTTTGTATAGGACAAGAATTATTCAGAAATTGGATAAATCCTATACTGTCTTTACAATACAAAGAAGCATTGACACATGCTGACTGATTGGACTGATTTCCACAGGCTTTCTGCCAGCATACAGTTTCTCGTTCTATGGAAAATAAGTACCAAAAGGCTCCAAGTACCTAAAAAGACAAGCAAATCATCAATGACCAGAGAGATCAATAAGAAAAGAACTATTAGAAGTATATGAGAAGACTGGATAAATGTAATGGGCCGGGCGCTTGCCATCCGACCCAAAAGCAGCTGTTAGGTGGAGCTGCCTCCGCCCTTGTAAGCCTAAGACCCTTCCCATATGGATCCAATGTGGGACAAGAACCTCTAACATTCTCCCCCACCCGAACTCGCAATGCCCTCCTTGTGGTCGGACCACCCTGCATACCCGTCCACATGAATGGCAGGAGTTGGAGAACCCTATAACAACCCGAACACAAGCCCGCCCATCATGTGGGCGCTAGACATGACACCAGATCAAGGACGGGGACTGCTTTGATACAATTTGTAACAGGCTGGGTGCTTGCCATCCAACCCAAAAGCTTAAGCTGTTAGGTAGAGCTGCCTACCCGCCCTTATAAGCCCAAGGTCCTTCCCATCCGGATCTGATGTAGAACAAGAACCTCTAACAATAAACCAGTTTAATAAAATTGTGTTGTGTAACTAGGAAAAAATAAATTGTGTTGTGCCTCCAGAAATAAAACTTAAAGTTGTAAAAGAAATAAAGTGAACATGAAAGTACACACTACACAGTTAAAATGATGAGCAAAAAATGCAATTAAACTTTCCAAACTGACATTTCACCAAAGTAAACACTAATGGGTATGTAAATATGGTACAAGAAAATGCAAACCGAAGCTTGTTCTACCAAACTTACATGACTGGCAAGCATGTAAAGAAAGAGATTGAATGCAGCTCCAGCCCATGCAGTTTCAGTAAGTATGCCAGAAGCTCTTGTGACTTCTTTATACAACGGATAGACCCGAAGAACCCTCGGTATATATTGGAAAAAAACAACAAACTTCAACAAGTTCTTTGTATTCAAAGATTTAGAGCCTCCCATGTGGGGTATGATAAGTAGAATTACAACCTGGAAATTACAAGATTCAGGTAAAATCGAATCATACAAATCAAATTTTCTAATAACAGGACATAAACCTCAGGTTCCAGCAAAATATCAGAAACAAAAGAATACTTTACACCATTTTTATAATAAAAAACAAAAAAATTGCAACTACATACAAAATATACCTGCATTAGGAAAGCAGTAAAGATATGACAGCAAAGAATGACATGTCACGCTGAGGTAAATGCTAGGGGAAGGGGAAGAGCAAAATTAAAATGGGCTGAGGAAATAAAGAAAAATATACGCATCTGGTTCAACTGAAGTTATGGCAAACAACAAAGCGCAATTCATGTAGCCAGCCCCAAATAGTTGGGACAAGGCTTTATTGAGTTATATTCGGTTGGGCCTTTGGCTTAATAGTACGGAAGTCATTTCACTATTTCTACTAACATATAACATGTGAAGCTAACCATGTACAAATCTAGGTGATCCCTTCTTCTTGAAGTATCTCATATATCATAGGATCCAAACTGGAATACAAACAGAAATTTTTTGGAATTTTCCAGACACAAATTAAAATTTGCAACAATCCCCCCTTGGGAAACCCCACTGTAATGAATATCTACACACCCAGACTCTTCTGTGCACATTTGAAGTCATGCTGAGAAGGAAGCTTTAACCCAGCCGACCATAAGATAATTTTAGTAAATGAAAGCCAAAAAAGGTATTTTACCTGTGGCAATGGAAGAACTGCAAGAATGTCAATTAAGAAGTACGAGGATAAATATCTCTTTGCTATAGCCCAAGCATCTTCAACTAAAACACCTCTTCCAAACACCCGAGAAGAGGGAGCAATAAAGCCAGTACGAAATTGAAAGATAATATGAATTATGTAAAAAATATCAGTGAAGGAACGCAAAACACTAGCTGTGATCTCCAATTTCTTATCCAATTCAAGGCACTTCTTGTCATCATTGATCACTGGAATGTAAAAGAATAAAGGATCCAGAGAAACAGCAATCACACACGATAATACAAAAATCTTATTCCACTTCTGTAGAAATGGCCCTTGTGGGTCAAGAAATTTTTTTCTAGAACCCGAGTTTTTGACCAGAACGCTACTTAATGAAAAAGATTTCAATGATCCTTTTATGTTTTTAATCCTTTCAGAACCTCTTTCCAAGCCTGTATAGAACCTGTCGGAAATTGAATTTATTGCTCTTCTAAGTTTCCCCGAACTGACTACATCTTTTGTGGAAAACTGTTCCTCAGAGCTTTTCTCGGATTTCCAATCCTGAAACCTGAATACAATATAATAAATTCAAGAGTCAGTTTTCATCGCTACATCAAATGTAAGTGACAAATAGAAGGCACAAATGAAGTCGTGACTCATTTCTAAAATCTAATTCCCAGGAAAAACGAGAGAGAAATAATTAATAGATTAGCAAAGGCTCAATTGTAACCGAGGGTGATAGCATCTGGAATTAACGGGAAGACATTGAGTCAAAAATCAATGTTAGTGATTCAAGGGTTGAAGTACGAAACTAATGAAAATGATATACTTTTTCTTTGCAAAGTTTGTTTATGAGCTTTAAACTATATCATGTAATTTTTTTCCTTTTTAGTTTTTCACGGAAATCCTTTTAGTGTCTTCACTGCTTTAATGGTTTTCATGACTTCATGATTAACCTTGGCATAGATCATTGGTTACTGAATAATCAGTTCATTAATTAAAATTAGCAAATAGATAAATTGGGGCTTAATTAATTGATTGATAATTATTCAGAAATTTAATTAAGGCAAAATTTGATCAAAGTTTTACTGAGACACCCTCTCTAGATCTTGTGTGAATCAATAACATCCATTTCATCTAGATACTCTCTTTACTTGATAACAAAGCTTTCGCAAGTGCAATTTTCAATACAGGACCTTACACTTGTGAAGAATTAGAAAAAGGAGAACACTACCATCATAAGAAACTAATCATTAACGCATGTAAGAAAGCTCAGTCATGCATTAATGGTGTGATTAATAACAATAACACCGGTGGATGAGGTGAAGATGATACTAATGACAAGGACAAATGAACAGATATAGTATCAACGATAACAATAAAGGTGGACGTGAAAATGGATGATTGCAGCCATGGTTGCAGGGAAGTGGATAATCCATGTGGTGGTAAGTAGTTACAATGGTGTTTTAATAATGATGGATGTCTTGAATAGTAATGCTAGTAGCGGACATAGAAGTGCAGTGGTTGTGACAGGTGACGAAGAAGGTGCTGCTGGCGATATAGTGGTGAGTAACCATGCAGATGGCTGAAAGAGTTGGAGACTGCAAAGATTTTGGTGCTTGTAGCAACAATTTCAATGCTAGCATGAAAGCATGTTCAGTGTCGGGTGATGGTGATGCCCATAAAGTAACTAGTGAAATCTCAAGACGGCGCATTGCAATGTGGTTGTGGACCTGTGGTAATGTGTTGATGATGGTAAATGTTTATTTTAAAAACGAAAATATTTTAGGGTCTTTTTGGTTTAGTTCCCAAGGAAATCAAGAACTCTGAAAACTGTTTCAATTACTATTCTTAGATATCAAGCCTTTTCTTTAACTTAGTTTTCAGGAAACTATTAACTAAATGAATTTCAAACTCTTTTTTGTTTTTCAATTTTCTGAGAACTATTTTCCATAAAACTGTTTCTTTTTAAATAATAATAAAAAATAAATTAAACCAAGCATGGACTTAGCTTTCACTAACATGTCAATAATATGTTCTCAGGCTTTTAAAAAATAAGTCAAAAGGTTCATTCCCAATGTGGTCCCCGTTACTTGAGGGCGTTGAAAAGCTAATCATTGGCATTATTTGCACAAAGTAACAACTAAAAATGGAATAACGAATGTGATCTGATCTACTTATAATTTTTTTGTTCCACGGAAAAAAAAAAAAGTACTTTGAAGATGTTGTCTAACTCTGAAAATTGTGCTGTTTGAGTGTAACATTTCAGCAATATTACGAGTTGTTTTCTTCTACATGCAAAAAGAAATGCTCTGACACTGCTGAATATTAACATAAAATCCAGTAAGAGATACTTAGGATACTACCAACCCACATTAAAGCTATTGAATGTAAAGAGTTCATGGTATGAAAAGATAAAAGAACTAACCTCACAAACTTCTCCTGCTGGTAATTCATAACTTTATATTAAGTATGACACAGTGTACAAAAAAGGATGATCAACCTCTGAACTCAGTAAAGGGAGGTTCTTCATGTGCCAAACTGCTTTGAGTACTCTCACAGAGTGCTGAACGTCCACCCCTGAAACTATGACAAAATTCTACATCAGATCATCTCAATTCGCCAGTCACAATAGTGTATTATTAGAAGGCCATGCAGTATAAGGAACAATCTAAAAGGAAAGATGTCTTAAGAACTTTGAGAACAAAACGGACTCTAGAAGTATCTAAGCTCACATGAGCACAAACAAAACAGGATGAAACTTTTTTACTTCAAACCAAGGGTGGATTATAACTTTGACCATCTTGTCACTGACAATTTTATCACAAAAGGAGAATGCAAGGAATTAGTTAATTAACAAACACACACAATAAGAAAGCAACATACCAATTTTCTAAATAGCTAATATATACAAACAAGTGAGAAAATATAGATGAAGAGTGACAAGCATGTTTAAACCGTGAATATGAGATACATCAGGTTGTCCTATACCAAAATATTGGTAAAAGCAGCATTTGAAATATGACATAAATTTCCCAAAGGTTCCAAAATTACATATATCCCATTGATTTACTACCATGACATTTCAAAAGAATTAACTCACTGCACAAAGTTAAACAGAGAAAATAAAACAATGTTTTTAAGGTACATTTGGATTTCTTTTCTTCTTCTTTTTTACAAAAAAAGGTTTCAAGCTTACAAAAAAAATAAAAATATATAAAAATTTTGAGACTGTGATGTTGCGACCCGAATTTGGTGTGGGTCGCGTTGCCACCCGACGCTCCATTGGATGAGCTTTATATGGGCCCAAGCCCACCAAAGCTCTGGGAGTCCGGGGCTTAGCCCCAAGGAAAATGTTTTACCATTTTTTTGCTTGTGAGTCGTGGACCCTAATTAGTACTCTCTTGTGCCCGATATATAAGGACGCTTAGGGTTTGGAGTGCGATATCGAGAGACACTGAAAATCGCAGAGATAAAGAGTGAAATCTTTTTTCGCATCGTAAAGACTTTCGCCGGATCTTCACCGTGGACGTAGGCATTGCTAAACCACGTATAAATCTTTATGTTCCTTGTGTGTGGCGTGTTTATTTTCTTTCGTGATTCTTGGTTTTATCTAGGGTTTGCTATGTTTGTCATAACAAAGACATATTTGGAAACAAAATATAAAATTAATCTGCAAAAGCAGGTTTTAAAACAGTTTCTGGAAAAGAACTTCGTTTCTCAAAACAAAATCGGTTCTAGAAATGTAACTGAACATACATAAACATTGAAATACCTTTAAATTTTAAAATTACTATTTAAAAAACAGCATTAAAGAGAATAAAAAACCTCCTTGAATTTCAAATCGTTCCGATAAATATTAAATAAATGAGAAATTAGATATTCATCATATATCCCAAGTATCAAAAAACTGCAAATTTAACTGAGGAAAGATTCAGATGTAATTAGCCTTAAAATTACCAAATTGTGTCTACCAAAACAAATAAGTGAGGAAAATCACAGAACTAAAACATACATCAATTCAAACGAACTGAAATTGCAAAAACTAAAATTAAGATAAAACAGTTGTACAATTTGTGTAAGAAATGTTAAATGCAAGTAAAAAATAAAAAAAGAACACATCGGTATGATAGTATTGATTGATAAAACAAAGGCAAAGGGTCTCAGAGATTATATATTAAGTCAACCGCAAATTTAACTCTAAAAACTTAGCCTAAAAATCACTAAACAAACTCTAAATCTAAAAAAGTACCCAAAAATGTAACATCTAACACATGCATTGATTTCAACGAATAAAAATTCAAACAAACTAAAATTAAGATACCCAATTGTACATTTTGAGTAAGAATTGATAAATGCAAATGAAAAATCCAGAAAGATAACATGGTGTCATAGAATAGGTTGATCATAGAAAGTCAAAAAGTGTCCGAGATTAAATATTCACCATATGTCACAAAGAAGTATCAAAAGACTGCAAATTTAACCAGTGAAGAAAGATTTAGATGTAATAAGCATAATACTCACTAAATTTAAGCATAAAATGAGAAACAAAATAGAACACAACTAACACGCACATCAATTCAAACTAATTAAAATTGAAACAAACTAATACTAAGATGACCCTAAGAAAATATAAATGCAAGGAAAAAAAAAAACACATGGCAGTGATAGAATAGATTGATCATACCAAGGCAAAGAGTCTTAGAAATCACCCAACTGTATCATGAACTGGACTCTGTCGATGGGGTGTGCTGAGAGAGAGATACAAGGAAGTTTTCAAGAGAAAAAGGGCTTTGGTTGAGAGAGCAGATATGGAGGGAAGGTTCGCGGAGACTTCTAGGGCAGTGACCGTCTTTGAATCGTTTCTGAATGTACAGTTATATATATATATCTATATATGTGTAAGTTATAGATTAAAGTTTAAATGTAATGGAAGTTTTGATTTTTACACAGAGAGTGAGTCCACGGGAGTACAGTTGGGGATGAGGCAAGCAATTCTTGTGGTATTGGGTCCCACTTTAACTTTCGAAACCGGTGTCAATTCTCTCCAGTTCTTTCCGTCCGGTCTTTCCGTTTACGTTTTTTATTTTTATTTTTATTTTTTTGTTTATTTTTTTTGGATAATTAAGTTTAGAAATATGGTTGGTGCTTGACTTCGACTTCTTTTAAAAGCTGCAAATTGCAATACTGTTGGCAAGGTTTAAGTCAAACCCTTTTTCTTCTTAGATTTTTTTATTTATTATTATTACATTTTTTCTTAGAAAACATTCAAGAAAAAATGTTAAATTTTATATTATGCATTAATATATAAAAATAAAAATAAAAATACCCACCGAGAATTAGTATAAAAATGAAAAGAGAGAACTAATATTAGTAGTGTAAAATTGTAGAAGCAAATTCAAAATGCATAGACATTATATAACAGCTTAAATTTTTATGTTAGAAGGCAAAGTGTCTCACTCGTTAAACCATAGTTAAACTCATTTTTTTTATTTTGAATCATGCCAAACACTGCCCAAAAGGAGTCACAGTCTCTATCAAAACTATCAAACAAAATGTGGGGTCAATTGAAAAATATTTTTCTAGGAAAAGATTTTTCTTTTTTAGGTTATATATATATATATATATATATATATATTTCATTATTTGGCAAAAATTTAGGTTGAGATTGAGATTGAGATTGAGGTTGAGTCCATCAGATGGTAGCGTGTAAAAAAAATTTGCCGAAAATTAATGAGTAAGTTATTTTTGTTAAATTTTAATATTTTTTTCTTCGTAAATATTTTACGACAACCAAATACCAAAAAATAATAAAATAATATCTAAAGATACTGTGTGACGGCCCCAAGTTTTTCAAACCCGGTGCGTCAATGATGACCCGATATCGGATCCTAAATACGAAAGCAAAAAGAAAAACATGATCTCTAGAGATGTACATCACCCCTAAGATGCCAAAGTAACTTCCTATGAAGTCACGGAACCCAAAAGAACAAAGATGCGGAAGTGAAGTTTTGAAAAATGGGTAAGTACAACTTTAGGGATAAAATGGTCATTTCAAAATAAAGATGGGTGCCACCATGCACACCATTGGAAAGACAACGAAAAAATTAATAAAATTAGACTAAGAATTGCCTGATTCAGAGTCCGGATGACAAAGATATGCAACCTCGAAATTTTGAAAACAAAAGCCAAAATTTAGAAGTGCCCAGGGGAGTCGGAGATCAATCACCGCCTGCAGAAATTGATGCGCTGCACTAGATTTTTTGCAGCTGCGACTAATTTTCGATATCAAAACAAACTTTTTTGAAAAAAAGTTGTAAAGAAACCCCCATTAAAATGTGATTTTTCTATATGACTATGTCAAAAGAAATCCTTATTTTTTTTTACAAAAATGCCCAAAATGCCCTTATACGGATATTTTGCAAAAGAAGTGAAAATGCATGAAACTTAAAGTGTCCATTTCATCAAATGCGATGTTGTGTGCAAAAGTGATAATGCACGCAAACGTAATATACATTTTTACACGTGCTACAATGGCATATGGCCTCAATACATGCCAATTACAAAATATCATATATCAAACATCCAAAATTCATTACGTTCGTAAGTAAACCATAAAACTAAAGGAGCATAAATATAAACTAAAAGGTGTTTGGCCCTTGGCCACATACCATACATGTAAAAAGGGTCTCAAAAGGTGTACTTAGGTACACATTACATGTTCGGAAATAAAAACGATGTGTCAAACCAAACTTTATATTACACCTTCGAAAGAAAACATAGCATGCTAACACTTACATGTATGTGAAATCACACAACAGGGTATCCAAAGCTACTATGTCAATCTGGGGATGTTATGCATCCCAAAATAAAGTCTCCTTACTTGAAAAATGTCCCAAACAATTAGGGTGAATAAACAAAGTTATTCGTAGGAAATGAACATGCGTATAACCTAAAGTTTTAACGGTTTTGCAAATCTATATAAACCGATCCATGTGGTTCATGCCATCTAATGTCTATGTCCAAAGTGTGATACCCTCGAATTTCCGGATGCGGGTTGGCCAGGCCCACGCCCGATAACCCGAGGATATCAAATCAATTAGCAATAAACGAACACAAAATATAATTAAGAAAATAGGAATAAATAAATTGCTGAAAAGAAACTAGAATGATAAACCAAAACTAGAAACCTCAGAATAAAATTTTATAAATAAATAATTAGTCTGATACACCCAACTTCTCTAATTTTAATACAACTCGGGAATCCATCTCTAATGGACCCCTAATAATAATCCAAACTGAAATGGAAGCTACTTAAAGAACATCCAGAGTAAACCATGGAGGAAAGTCCTACGTCGTCGGAAGAGTGAGTAGTAAACTCCGCTCAGCACGATCAAGTCTAAGTCTGGAACTGACAAGTACCTGAAAAATAGAGGTGGGTCAGGCCCACGAACAAGTTCTAACCTACTACAATCCAAGCAGAGACTCGATACGCATATACATTCTAACCAACTCAACAATAACTAAATAGTCCGTAGATATGTATATTCACACTACAGGACTCTCACTGGACTATGGAGAGGGCCTCAACCTGAATAGAAAGCAACATGCGAAAACGCACCCATAGGTGGGCATGAGTACCTAGACCTAACAGGGTACACCTCAACCTCTCATATCCAGCTACGCATCCTACTGCATATACGCACCCTAACCAACGAGCCTGAGACTCAAACTCATCTCGTGGTACCATAAAAATATATTTAAAATCCATACATATCCATCCACAGGAAATCCAATAAATCGTTCAGCTTATTCAGCTGCACAGACTTATACAAGAGATCCAATAAGTCGTTCAGTTTATTCAACCGCGCAGACTTAAATATAAGGAGAATTATGTTTTTATAATTCACACCCTTATTCCAAAATAGGTAGGACTGAGTATTTTGAATCAGTTGGTCCCTAGTATGCCACCGTCCCATACCGGTGCATACAATCCACAAAATCCATATAATTGATAGAATAGGTAAAACCGTTCAGCAATTAAAATCCATAAGGTAGGAATTAGCGTTTTGAGCTAAACCATACCTAGTATGTCATCGTCCCATACCGGTGCATACAATCCTCCATATCCATGTAAATTACAATATATAAATAATAAGCAAGTAATTTACAGTCCTAAACCAAATATTCATACCATTGTAGAAAAGTAATTAAAATTTCAGCAATTTAAATCCAAGATCTAAACCATGTATTTGCAAGAAACGGTGTAATAATTCAACAACCAGCATCCAGAGCATGCATAGATCAGTTTTAATAAATCAACAACCCTATCATGCATTTAAATCAGTTTTATAATCATGTTATAATCCAAACAATTGCTAAATTAATTTAAGCAATTTAGTTCTTTCCATCCGGTAACAGCGTACTAAGTGTTATACTCGTATTCTGTTTCATCCTTTAACACGGAGCCATACTCTATGCCCCAAGTCCAATTTGTTAATTAAAAGACTCCACCGTGCATCTAAAACCTAATTTAGAATCATGTTATAGCATCTTAAATTGTCAAATTTAACTAGACAATTAATTGCCTTCCAGTCGTTAATCGTACACATAATTGTTAAATAGCGCATTATTAATTCCATTAACACAAAAGGGGTATTTTATAAAATTAAAGACCTTGATTACAGGTTAAACTAATTAATGAAAACCCCATTAAAATTCTAAAACTATTCAAGAACCCTAAGTGCCAAAACAGTAGCTAAAAACATTACAGTACGCGTCAAATTCCATCAAATTGGAAAGAGCCTGCTCTTGGCAAAGTAGAGCAGGCTCCAAAACAGCCTAGAGCCGGCTCTATACAACCTTGGAGCTGGCTCTAATCAGGTGGGAGCCGGCTCTTGGCATTCCAGAGCCGGCTCTCCTTCCCCTTGTGAGCATTCTCTCCGTTCTGCTCTGTTTCAGCTTCTCTACTCCTTCAACGGATCATTCCTATCACTCTATTGGTTTTTAAAACTAATCATAGGAGTCTAATTTACACCCAATAACATCCCATCAGATTGTTATAACAGTAGGAATTTAATACGACATCAAAACAACAATCGACTTAACATGTCTTTATGCTCAAAACTGAAACGAGTTAAGTTCTATATAACAGTTAATCCATAGTTAGCAGTAATTAAAGCTTAGGCATACTTGTTCCTACCACAATTCCATGTTTAAAATGGTGTAACCATCCTTAGTAATCTGCTAGATTAGATTAAAGGCAATTAAACCTCTATATCTCCAAAAACGGTAACCAGATTTGCCTCTAACAATTTATGCAATGTTTTACTATAAACACCAGTGTTTTAATCCAGTTAACCAACCCTTAGAACTTTAATATGGCCTTAGAACATACTTGAAAACCCCAATTATACCTTCTAACAGGATCTGAAATTTCCAAAATCCAACCCTCGTAGTGCAAACGGTCGCCGAAACATCAAAAAGTGGAAAAACCTTGAAGGAGCCTGCTCTTCTAAAAGAAGAGCCTGCTCTCTTTTGCTAGGAGCTGGCTCTCCTAGTCTTGGAGCCGGCTCCAAGTCCCCTAAGAGCCTGCTCTTTGTTTCCAAAGAGCCTGCTCTTTAAACTTTAAGTCGTCTCTCTTCCCGTGTGTTCATCGTCTCTACGTCCGGTAAATTTCTGAGGAACTGTCTTCCAATCCTAAGATTCTTAGAATGTTTAAACTAAGTTTCCACATATTCCAAAATCTATTGAATTCTTTGTTCAATTACCAAACTCAATTTAATACATGGATTTTGCAACAAGAATTTAATACGAGAAGTTTAAGCATTCTTGAGCATCGACTGTTGCAGCAAATCAAACTTGCAACCTAAATTAATTCTAATGCTTCCCAACATGTTATAGAA